AGATCCAACAACCACTAAATATTTATTGAATAGTGTATCTGTGTATGTTGTATCTAGAGCGCTGGGTGTAATTATGGGGAACAAATAAGATTGCAAAGTATAATGCATGCTTTTCCAGTTCTCAAGGAGTCCACTATCTAGCTAGGTAGACAGGAGATGCTCAGAGGAAACCAACACTCAACAACTGTACATATATAACTCTTATTGTTGTTGTATTCCTTTACTCCCTTCACATGCTTGCTTTCCATGTATTAGTGATTTCTCTCTCTGTGATGTTTCCTCGTCCATTAGACTATGATTTGGCTGAGGGACTAGTTCATGTCCTCTTTGTCATCCAAAGAAACAATCACTAAAAATTTGTGCCCTGATGCTGAGGTCTCATTCCTATTTTTTAGAGAGATTGAGGGTCAAGAGGAGTAATCTGGGATCCTTGGATGATAATGCTAAAAGTTAACCAAAAAGTTCTTGGTCTTGGACACATTGTGTATGTTATTATTGTACTTTTTAAAAAATCTATACAGTGCCTCGATCTGATTCTTATGATGAATAAATGAGGATTTGAATATGAAAATAATTTGAAAAAATAAAAACACTACAGGAATAATGAATGATTCAGCTTGGATCTGAAGAATAACATTTACTTCATCGATTCAGTTATCCATTCCTTCAGCAAGCATCTAAAAGACATTGCTAAGCACTCTTGTATACACTGTACTAAAAACCGAGAACTGAGACATGTGTGCATTGGGTCCCCTTTTCTGGGAAGACTGTGTTCTTGCAGGGAGCAGATGCTTCATCTTTCTTTTCCCACAGTTCCAGAGACTGTGCAGCTGGTTGGCGGGCCTGGGCGCTGCAAGGGACGAGTGGAAGTGAAGCACAAAGGGCAGTGGGGCACCGTATGCAAAGCAGGCTGGAATCTCTCAGCTGCAAAGGTGGTGTGTCGGCAGCTGGGCTGTGGGAGGGCCATACTGACCCAGAGATGCTGCAACAAGTCTACCCAGGGCCAAGGGCCCATCTGGCTGAGTGAGGTATCATGCTCGGGAAAGGAAGTAGACCTTCAGGATTGCCCTTCTGGACTTTGGGGGAAGAATAACTGCACCCATGATGAGGACACGTGGGTCGAATGTGAAGGTAATGCCTATAAGGCCAGAGCCTAGGTTCATTCATTAATTTGATTAAATGGAATTCCATTCAACCAATGTTTATAGAGAATTACTCATGCATCCAATAACCGTGGCAAAGTTATTTAATTATTGATCATCAGTTCTTTTGTTTTTAAAGTGGAGATAATGATACTTGCTTTTGTATGTGAAAATGCTTTAAATATTAAGCACTATAGTAATATGAACTGTTATTATATTGAATTCTATATAATAGGGACAGGACACACCATTCATGCACTTGTTGAATTCTTCCAATTTTACAAACTACTAGAAAGTCATTTATAAATAATAGATTTTTATAAAATAGGTGAGAAAGTGAAAAGATCCTAGTTCAGGAGATGGACCTGGCCCACGTGGATTGGGACCTAGAGAAGGTGCTAAAATCATAGAAGCACAAGTAGAGTTCCAAAAGTGCTGATGGGATTTGAATGAGGATGCAGATGATTCTATAATTTCTTCTTTCTATGCCTTTCTCCACCCCCTGTCTTCCTCTTCCACCTTACAGATCCCTTTCAGTTGAGGCTGGTAGGAGGAGAAAGCAAATGCTCTGGGCGACTGGAGGTGCTGCACAAGGGTGAATGGGGCACGGTCTGTGACGATGGCTGGGGAGAAAAGGAGGAACGGGTGGTCTGCAAGCAACTGGGCTGCGGGGAGCCTGTCTTTGTATCTGCCAAAGACCGGAGAAGGTTCGGCTTTGGGAATGGCCGCATCTGGCTGGATGATGTTCACTGCTCAGGGCAGGAGCTGTCCCTGGAGCAGTGCCGACACAGGTTCTGGGGGCATCACAACTGCAACCACCGGGAAGATGTGGCTGTGGACTGCTTAGGTAAGCCCTGCAGGTGGGATTCGTGAGGACTGGCAGTGAGGGAGGTGTAGAGGGGCCAGTGGGGGTGAACGCTGGGAACAAGGACTGTTCTCCCAGTGCCACACAGCTGCCCATGGTAGTCACCTACTCTGTGTGCATTTCAGGGGATGTAACTGAGACATTCTAGTAATGAATAGAATAATAATAACAAGGAAAACCCATACCATATATTTATTGAATGTAAGAACAAGAGGGGTTTTGAAAATTATTGGATTAACATCCTTATATTAAACATGAAGAAAATGAAAGTCAGAGAAAATAGGTGACTTTGCAAAATGAAAAAAAAATGCTTTTGAATGATGGAGCAGAACTAAAATGACCAGGCTTGACTCTTAACTTGGAATTAGTTCTCTTAGATGACTGCAACCTTCAAACTCTAGGTTTAAACTGCAGAACATGGTCCCACCTCATTCTATGGATTGTCACTCCCCAGAATTTAAGTTCATCTGTGGGAATGGAGCTAGGGTAGGGGGCAATTTGGGAATGCCCATGAGAGTGTCTTTCCAGAGAGGCCTGAGTACCAGCCCTGAACTACAGATCTCTTCAGGGGAGTGAATGAAGAAACCCTGTCCCAGCGTGAGCCAGGAAATGCAAGCGTGGCCCCTAGGTGGCTAACTCAAGAGAGTCACACTCTGAAGCCCAGCTTTATAATCAGGCTGGGAAGCTGGTGTGCACGGCTGCTTGGTTAAACACTCAGCTATGGAACCAGGGAAGAGCTGACCGTTGACCAGAGATGTCAAGAGCAGTTAGTGCCCAGAAGAGGACAGATTTAGTGACAGAAGATTAGACTTTGAATCCTGCTGCTGCTATTCCGAGGCCATGTAATCTTAGTCACTTCACTGCTCAGGAACTCGGTATTTTCATCTGTACAAAGGGAGA